GCCTGCGGGTTGACGCGGAGGAATTCCTCCTTTTCTCCCTTGTACAAAGAGGATAAGATCTTTACTAAGGGGGCGGCTGAGGCCGGCCCCTTACGACCGTAACGTGTGGTGTCAACCTCCCCGTTGAAATCCCACATGGGGTGGCCTCTATATTGAAGTGGCTGCACCCCCCGCATAATGCATGCGGCCATGACTCCAATCATGGTTAGTCCGGAATGAGCCAACAGTCTTATCTGGCAAATCAGGTAAAGGACGTCTCTGTCGCTTTCTCTCTAAGAGCTCCGCAGACGCCAGCTCAAACGTTTCTTCAATGGAGCACTGTTGAACTCAGGGAGACCGACCCGGATAAGGTCCGGTGGTGGGACGTCATCTATATAAAACCATTTCGAAGGCCAGTCCTCGGACGCCTTCTTTGGGGTTCCGGATAGGTATCTGGTCCCGGCGATGCGCCATACTTCGGCTCCGCCCACTTGGTATATTGACCCCTCTCGAGAACGGGGCACCAGGCAGAATAACCTCTTCCACAGCGTGAAATGAGCCTCAACGCCTAAAAATAGCTCGCAAAGGGCGACGAAACCCGCAATATGTAATACGGAGGCGGGCGTGAGATTGTGCAGCTGGAGGCCGTAGAACTCCAGAAGCCCGCGGAGAAATGGATGAATTGGAAACCCCAGTCCCCTTATTAGATAGGGGACGAGGCACACCCGCTCTCCTTTAGAAGGATTGGGGGTGCTCTCCGCTTGTTTTCCGCCATTGTAGGTAGAGAGTCTCTTGTTTTGTCACTTTCATATACTAGTGGAAATTTTCATTATAGAACTTGGCTTGTATATTCCAACAATGGGCCTCCTCAAGTGCCCTAGGTCTTCGTGAGCAAGCAAGTTGGATGCACACCCACTTGGTTTCTTTTGTTGAGCTTTCATACATTTATAGCTCTAGTGCATCCGTTGCATGGCAATCCCTACTCACTCACATTGATATCTATTAATGGGCATCTCCAAAGCCCGTTGATACGCCTAGTTGATATGAGACTATGTTCTCCCTTTTGTCGTCTCCACAACCACCATTCTATTCCACCTATAGTGCTATGTCCATGGCTCACGCTCATGTATTGCGTGAAGATTGAAAAAGTTTGAGAACATCAAAAGTATGAAACAATTGCTTGGCTTGTCATCGGGGTTGTGCATGATTTGAATATGTTGTGTGGTGAAGATGGAGCATAGCCAGACTATATGATTTTGTAGGGATAACTCTCTTTGGCCATGTTATTTTGAAGAGACATAATTGCTTAGTTAGTATGCTTGAAGTATTATTATTTCTATGTCAATATTAAAATTTTGTCTTAATTCTTATGGATCTGAATATTCTTGCCACAATAAAGAAGAATTACTTAGAGAAATATGTTAGGTAGCATTCCACATCAAAAATTCTGTTTTTATCATTTACCTACTCGAGGACGAGCAGGAATTAAGCTTGGGGATGCTGATACGTCTCCAACGTATCTATAATTTTTTATTATTCCATGCTATTATATTATTTGTTTTGGATGTTTATGGGCCTTATTAAACATTTTTATACTATTTTTTGGAGTAACCTATTAGCCCAGAGCCCAGTGCCAATTTCTGTTTTTTCCTTGTTTTAGAGTATTGCAGAAAAGGAAAACCAAACTGAGTCCAATTGACCTGAAACTTCACGGAACTTATTTTTGGACCAGAAGAAGCCCACGGAGTATCGGAATTGGACCAGGAGAGTCCCGGGCTGCCCACGAGGGTAGGGGGCGCTCCCACCCCCCCTGGGCGTGCCCCCTGCCTCGTGGATAGCCCAGAGGTCCACCGACGTACTTCTTCCTCACATATATACCCATATACCCTAAAAACTTCGAGGACGACAATAGATCGGTAGTTCCGTTGCCAGAAGCCTCCGTAGTCACCGAAAACCAATCTAGACCCGTTCAGGCACCCTGCCAGAGGGAGCAATCCCTCTCCAGTGGTCATCTTCATCATCCCGGTGCTCTCCATGACGAGGAGGGAGTAGTTCTCCCTCGGGGCTGAGGGTATGTACCAGTAGCTACTTGTTTGATCTCTCTCTCTCTCTCGTGTTCTTGAGGTGGTACGATCTTGATGTATCGGGAGCTTTGCTATTATAGTTGGATCTTATGATGTTTCTCCCCCTCTACTCTCTTGTAATGGATTGAGTTTTCCTTTTGAAGTTATCTTATCGGATTGAGTCTTTAAGGATTTGAGAACACTTGATGTATGTCTTGCATGGGATACCCGTGGTGACAATGGGGTATTCTATTGATTCACTTGTTGTATGTTTTGGTGATCAACTTGCTGGTTCCGCCCATAAACCTATGCATAGGGGTTGGCACACGTTTTCGTCTTGACTCTCCAGTAGAAACTTTGGGGCACTCTTTGAGGTTCTATGGTTGGTTGAATAGATGAATCTGAGATTGTGTGATGCATATCGTATAATCATACCCACGGATACTTGAGGTGACATTGGAGTATCTAGGTGACATTAGGGTTTTGGTTGATTTGTGTCTTAAGGTGTTATTCTAGTACGAACTCTAGGGCTGTTTGTGACACTTATAGGAATAGCCCAACAGATTGATTGGAAAGAATAACTTTGAGGTGGTTTCGTACCCTACCATAATCTCTTCGTTTGTTCTCCGCTATTAGTGACTTTGGAGTGACTCTTTGTTGCATGTTGAGGGATAGTTATATGATCCAATTATGTTATTATTGTTGAGGGAACTTGCACTAGTGAAAGTATGAACCCTAGGCCTTGTTTCAACACATTGCAATATCGTTTGTGCTCACTTATTATTAGTTACTTTGTTGTTTTTATATTTTCAGATTACAAAAACCTATATCTACCATCCATATACCACTTGTATCACCATCTCTTCGCCGAACTAGTGCACCTATACAATTTACCATTGTATTGGGTGTGCTGGGGACACAAGAGACTCTTTGTTATTTGGTTGCAGGGTTCCTTGAGAGAGACCATCATCATCCTACGCCTCCTACGGATTGATAAACCTTAGGTCATCCACTTGAGGGAAATTTGCTACTGTCCTACAAACCTCTGCACTTGGAGGGCCAACAATGTCTACAAGAAGAAGGTTGTGTAGTAGACATCAGGGAGGCGTATCGATCCAGCAAGTGCGCTTCCTGCCGTCGCCGTCCCCAATACCGGCCTAGCTGACCGGATCATCGCCGCCACCCGTCTACACATCGGCTGGAGACCCGCCGGCACCCACTCTGCAGTTAGGCGATCCCTCCGGCAACACAAGGCACTCCACGGGCCGCGCCCATACTGACCGGGTGCCCCAATCCTTGCTGCTTCACACCTCCGAGCCAGTCATCCACGGCGCTCCGACTCAGACACCGCCGCGGTTTGCCAAACTGGACTTCGCCACTTATGACGGCACGGAGGACCCCCTCAACTGGCTCAACCAGTGCGAGCAGTTTTTTCACGGGCAGCGCACCCTCGCCTCGGAGCGTACCTAGCTCACCTCTTACCATCTCCGCGGCGCGGCACAGACCTAGTACTACGCCCTTGAGGAGGACGAGGGCAGCATGCCCCCTTAAGAGCGCTTCTGCGAGCTTTGCCTCCTTCGTTTTGGGTCACCGATCCGCGGGAGCCGCCTGGCAGAGCTAGGCCGCCTTTCCTTCACCTCCAAGGTTCAGGACTTCGCCGACCGTTTCCACGCCCTGGCATGCCACACGTCGGGCGTGACGGCACAACAGCGGGCTGACCTCTTCGTCGGTGGACTTCCGGATTACATCCGCGTGGACGTGGAGCTTCGGGGACCCCAGGATATCCAGACGGCCATGTACTACGCCCGCGCGTTTGAGCGTCGCGCGGTGGCCAACCTTACAGCTCGAGGACGAGCTGTTTGTGCAGGCGGGGAGAAGTGTTATGACCGACATATTAGGGGCTTAGCCCAGTGGGTTGTGGCCCAAGTTATCTTATCGTTATTAGGGGCTTAGCCCAATTATCTTATCATTATTAGGATCGTTTGCTTAGGAGTCAAGTAAACCTCTCTATATAAGGAGAGGAGATGTATCAATCTAATCAAGCAAGAAGCAATCATTATTTGCTCGGCTTCCCGAAGAAAGCCGGGAGAACTAACCCTAGCCGCCTCTTGCGCCGCCGCCGCCTCTTCTTCATCGCGCCATGGCGCCCCGCCGGCGGTAGCCGTGATCGCATCTCCGTCAACCCTCCCCCTTCCCGTACAACCTACGCCCTACACCAGGTAGGATTCTAGCTCCTACCAGACCCACTGCAATATATGTATATTTCTGCAGTTATGCTGCCTCAATACTAAGAATTTAAAATTTAGGCCCTGTTTGGTTCATAAGTTCTAGGACTTTTTCTAGTTCCAACTAAAAAGTCTCTAGTCCTTAAAAAGTCCCTCATTGTTTGTTTCCAGAGACTAAAACGTCCCTAGTCCCTTCCTAGAGGTTATTAAATGACCATGTTGCCCCTAGTATATAGAAAAATAACAATCAAATAACACCATGGGGTGGCGGGCCAATGGGTGCATGGAGGGGCATTGTTGGAAAAGTCTCAAAAAGTCCCAAAAAGACTCTCCTTGAGAGTCTTCTCCATTTAGTCCCAAATGTCTAGTTTAGTCCCTAAAAAGTCTCTCCCGTTTGGTAAAAAAGTTTCTAAGGACTTTTTCTAGTCCCTACACAAAAAAGTCACTGGAAACAAACACCCCCTTAGTTGTACACTTTTGGGGATTTAAATCTGTAACCCAAATACATTCGTTTGAGACAAGTATTTTTAGAGGAAGGGAGTACTTCACGTCTATATATAATCACAATCACAACAAATTTCATATTTACAGTCGTGGCTATGGAGACACGTTCTATTCACACGGGAGTTCACATGAACAAGACTGCGTACGTACACACGCGTCTCAACCAAATCATTCCATGCCATGCCATGCTACGCCGGCTTCCCTTCCTGCACCGCGCTCTCTGGCGCCGTCAAGCCACCTGCCGCATCTCCACGGACGCCACGGGCGCCGCGGCCGGCACCACCGCGGTCACCGTGGCCGGCGCGGCAACCTCCATCTTGGCGACGCCGTGGCCGTGGCCGTACCCGCCGCCCTCGAGGTCGTCGTCGTAGTAGGCGACGCGGTCCCTGCGCGGGCGCGCGCGCAGGTGCCTCTTGGTGCACACCTGGCCGACGAGGCAGGAGATGACGATCAGCGCCGCGATCACGCCCAGCACCACGAACACCGCCGTGTACGACCCCCCGCCGCCGCCGCCGGCCGACGCCGCGTCCTGCAGCGGCCGCGCGTGGATGATGATGCCCGTCCCCTCGCCAGCCGACGCCATCGCGGCTGATGCTCGCTGTGGTGACCGGTGGAATGAAGGCGACGACGATGTGCGGCGCACGTACTTGTAATCTCTCGCGCTTGGGTTGATATATATGCTTGGAGTGAGCTCGAGAGCTGGGTTTGGTCTAGTGTACAAGGGGAGGATTGGAGCTTGCGAACTCTGCAATTTATGCTGTGTTGTTCCTTGCCGGCATCCATGGCAAAGCTAAGGATCCATCCAATCCAATCCAACGTTGGTTGCCACTCACCGTAGTCCTTCCATCATTCCAAGGGAACAAACAATATGCAGGGCGTCGATCAATTGCAGTCTCGCAAGTTACCCTTGCAAGATTCTTTTTTTGGATGCTATTAGCTGGGATGCTAGATTGATGTATGGATATCATCTTCTTCCTTTTGCATGGATCGATTCTTTCTGCATGAATGCATTCTTGAACAAACTATAAGCATTCTGATCACCGTCCATTGCCGATCCGACGGTCAGAAATGTGCAGCTGTCGTGGCTAACGCACGTCACATTCGTTTCCTACGTGATGACACACCTTCTTATCTTATCTTCGCGCGCCTCTTTTCTTCCCCTCTGCCATTTCCAACTCCGAGCGCAGAGCAGAGCAGAGCATCAAGAAAGACTCAGCGCCACGGCGGCAATGGCTTCCACCGCTCTCTCCTCGGCCCTCTCCCTCATCCACGCCAAGCCCGCCACCACCTCCCTGCCCCGGCCACACCCATTCTTTCCCATCCACGGTCACCGCCCCTCCGTCGCCGTCGCTTGCACCTCAACCGCCGCGGCCTCCCCGAAGGTGCTGGAGCTGGGGGACGCCATCGCGGGGCTGACCCTGGAGGAGGCGCGCGGGCTGGTGGACCACCTGCAGGAGCGCCTGGGCGTGTCGGCGGCCGCGTTCGCGCCCGCCGCCGCCGTGGCCGCCCCGTCCGGACCGGCGGCCGAGGCCGAGGCGCCCGCGGAGCAGACGGAGTTCGACGTGGTGATCGAGGAGGTGCCGAGCAGCGCCCGCATCGCGACCATCAAGGTGGTGCGCGCGTTGACCAACCTGGCGCTCAAGGACGCCAAGGACCTCATCGAGGGCCTCCCCAAGAAGCTCAAGGAGGCCGTCGGCAAGGACGAGGCCGAGGACGCCAAGAAGCAGCTCGAGGCCGTCGGCGCCAAGGTCACCGTCGCCTGACCTTGACCTTGCTGCTACTCCTACATTGCTACTAGGAATTCCATCATTTTACCAAAATTTTCCTTGTCGAAAAGACATTTTCTCTTGTGTAATTGTATCCGGCCAGTTGCAAGATCTTTGCGTCCTTTATATACTCTGTTTCTTTCTCTGTTTTTTGTATCTCCAGTACGACGCGTACCTGAATTCTGATGAATTCCGATGCTTCGTTTCAGAATTTTGATTAGATATGGTATGTAATTTTCTCGGGAGAGAATGCATTACGATATGTACTGGATGTTCTAGACATGGCCTGGTCGATGTAAAATGCAAGCCACTTGGATACTCTGTGACTGAGTGACCAATGCACAGGTCAGGTGCAGGAATTGCAGAATAATTCCGCGAGCTCAACCGGTAACAATGCGATACGCCCTGACTGACCAATGCACTGAACGACATCCCGGTAGGATTGCTGTTTTCCAAGTATATTGATCAACCACAATATTTACTTTCATCAGAAAAACACACAATGTTTGCATGTACATAAAGGGGAACATAGGACATACCCAGCCTAAAATGGCGACTCATATCTAAAGAAGTAGCGACCTAACTACATTCTCACATTTCTTTTTTGATCTCATGACTTTTTATGCGATCGGAAAACGAATAGGGCATGTACAATGGCATTATCTTAGAAGTGACACATAGAAGTCTAAAAAAAAGGAGTGCCACGTAGAACCCTAAAAAGAAGGAGTGCCACGTAGAATAAATGCTGAGGTGGAGAAGAGAGAAAATATAAGAAAAGATTTGTCTTTTCATTTAAGAGATGATCTCTTAGCACAATATGTCTCACCATGTTTTTATGAATAGTTAGTTATCAAAAATAAAGCTAAGAATCCATCGTAGACATGTTTTTTTTGTTATTTCAAAATTACATGCGCACTTAAGATAAGACTGTCTTTTCAACCATTGTATATGCCCTTAGCAAGGCTGTCAGCTTCAAAATTGAAGTTCCGAGAGTCATGCACAAAAACAATATACTATTTTTTCATGAAATCCAAAAATTGGAAGACACGTTTTGTAAATGGATTTCAGTTATTTTTCAAAAATCCGAATGGAAGTTTCAATATTTGGAATAGTTCTTGTACTTATATGGGAATTTATTACATTGGTATAAATATTAAGGGAATACTTAATTTTTTAGTGAATATTTCTGAACTATATTGGAGAACTTCTTTCAAACAATGACACTTACTCCATTTTTCCAAATATGAATAAAATTGTTTTTTTGAAATAAAAAATATTTTGAAAATTCCATTTGAATTCAATGAAAATTGTAAAATTTCATACAAATTTGTGGATTATTTATTTTTTAATTTTTTTACAAAACATATTCATAAATAATCATGCTTATTTTAGTCATATTTCATAAACATCTCACAAAGATTTCAGAAAATTTTAACGACTTCCATTATATTACTCCCTCCGTTCCTAAATATAAGTCTTTATAGAGATTCCACTATGGACTACATACATATATATAGACATGTTTAAGAGTATAGATCATTCACTCATTTTACTCCGTATGTAGTCCGTAGTGGAATTTCTAAAAAGACTTATACTCTATCCGTTCCAAAATAGATGACTCAACTTTGTACTATCTTTATATGAAGTTGAGTCATCGGTTTTGGAACGGAGGGAGTATTTAGGAAGGGAGTTAGTACGATCAAATTAAGTTATGCATGTGCATTAAAATTGTTTTCTATATTTTTGAACAACTTGGAATCTTTTGATTTTCTTTTTTTAGTGGTTTGATTTTCTTTTCTTTCCTTCAAATGTGTTAATTATTTGAAATTTTTAAGAAGTGATTTGGAGTATTACTGACAGGACTAGGTTTCTGTAAGCACGTTGCAAAATTTCTAAATCGGTACTAATATTAAGTAGAATGCATATCAAACTGAATAAAATATGTAGTAGTACTTCATAAAAAATTGAAATCAAACATTTGTAAAATCTTTTCTAACATTTTTGTACAAATTTGCAACTTTGCAAAAATTGAAACTTGTGCATTTACTAAATTGTAGCTCCAATGAAAAATTAATTACGAAGTGTACAACATAGATCGAATACAGAGCAATGCAGGAAAAATACATTGACGTATAGATAAGGAATTAGCAAAGAAAAAAAGAGATATATAGACAAGGAGTGTGAATCTCAAAGCAGCATTGACGGCTCTAATGTGCTTGCAAGAATTGAGTATTCGACCTTCAACACTTGATCTACAGTAGGTCTGAAATCATCCCAAAGACAGACAGCATTTCTTAGATTTGCCCAGCAAAATTAATTTAGCTCTAGCTTGAGACGAACCCAAGTGAAATTTCTCATGAGTTTAATTACCCATGCAACACATACGAATAGCATATAGATAAAAATTCAACATATAGATAAAATTCATATGATACTAATAGCATAGTTCATCAAGCCCAACACTGTTAGAATTAAATTCGAGGCATACCATTGATCATCCGAGGACCAAGCAATCACACGAGCACGACACCGGAATTTGTTAATGAGGTTCACCGATATGGCTACATCCCCGGGGCTTGACTATGGGCGCTCCTCCCCGTGATACCGTCACAATACCGCACCCGGTCGCCCTGGACACCGGCACATGCCGCCGGCTTCCCCTGCGTTCCGGTGCTATTATGTTGGCATAGGTTACATCGTGTGTCTACCACCGCTATATATGAGAGGCCTAGGATACGAGTGTCCGATTTGGACACGACTCCACATCCTATTTTAACACAATACAACTCCTACTCCAACTGTAACATACCTTGTACACAATATTCGACACAACTCTAACAAACATACAAACTAGTCCATACGATACAAATAATAAAAATAGATAAAAAGGATACTACAATGCAAACATAGTAAAAACTGCTTCTCGTTGTCGTCCTCCTCAGTGGTGTAGTCCGACGACAGAAACGCGTCATTACACCGAGGATCATTGTCGTCAACGGTCAACACCGGTCCTAGGTCGCACTACGCTAACGCCAGTGCCTTCCGCTCATGCTTGTCCGCCCGATCCGCGGCTCGCTTCGCCCTCCTCTCCGCCCAGAAGTCGTTCTCTCGAGCGACATCCTCCGGGAAGCGCCGGCGGCACTCCGCCATGGCGTACTCGTCCGCCTCGGCGATGAGGAGGTCGCGCTCCCGCCTACGCTGAACGCGGCATTCCTCCTCGGTGACTAGCCGCGGCGGAGGCACGAGCTCCTGCACCTGCTCACACGTCCGGGCGGCGGAGAAGTTCATCTGCGCTCGTGGCCTTCCGACGCGTTACTCCCCGCGTCGTACGCGCGGGCAGCCTCATGGGCAGTCTCAATCGTCCCGAGACCGAGACGCACGTCACTGGAGCGGATCTCCGCGTAAAACATGCTGGAGGGGTGGGCGCGTACGCCGCGATAGCCGGAGCTGCTCCGGGCGCGCGGGGGCATTACAGCGGTGGGGGAGAAGGCGCGGCGGCATCGGGAGAAGGGCGTGGTGGTAGCGGGGGGCGCTGGAGGCGAGGAATATGGGGGCGGCGGGGAAGAAGAAGGCGCTGGAGTGGCGGTTGGCGGGCTCGGGCGCGCGCGTTTTATAGAGCACGCCGGACGCCACGTGCCTGGGCGCTTTTCCGCGTGCACGTGATTTTTTTCCCGCGCGCCGGAATCTCCCGTGCCCGCTGGAGCGCGCCAAACCGCTCCGCTAAACCATGCTTTTTCCCCGCACGCGATGTATAGCGCGGCTGTTGGAGATGCTCTGAGCAAGGTTGTGAGCTTCAAAACTGAAGTTCCGAGATTCA